AGTTGTTGTTAGAGGTATAGGTATTGGGTAGAATTTGGGATGTAGAACATGGTCATGCAGCATATGTGCTTTATAAGTACTAATCAGAAGTCAATAGGTTAATAATAGGCATGCTAATAAGCAACTAGTTAACTAGTTAATAGTGAGAATTGGTCCTTATACTAAAGTGTTATCGTTTTTTTTAATAATTATAATTTTATATATTTTTTTAATAACTATATGTAGTGAACTTTAACAGTAAAGCATAAGAGAACTAAGAAAAACAACAGCTCAGAATTACACAAACTTTACAGCCAGGTATACCTACTAATAAATAAATAGGCTCAACAAAAAAGAAAAGGGTAAGGGTATTGGAACGTATAGATTCAATTTATTGTTAAAATACACTTAAGTAAATGTAATTGACTCATTCTCTCTCTCTATCTCTTCCTCAGGTATGTCTGTAGAAGATAGTTCAACTCTGGACAGGTAACCAGGTGTCACTGTTGCTATGGCAACACAGATGCTGCCATTGTTGCCTGCCCTCCTCACTGTCCTCCTCGTTTCCTGGACGGCAGCCCAGGATGTGGATTGGCATTTTGACTCTGGTAAGAATGTCAGGTGTTCTGATGGTGTTCTGCTCCTGTCATACATCAAAGCTAGTGTGAGAAACACCCTTTCTCAGTTTATTTAACTGTGGTTTTGTGGTCCGACCCTGAGGATGTGTGGGTCCTCCCAAAGTCCTAAAGTCAGATTTCCTTTAATCAGTCTTCTCTCCTGTCTTTAAACTCTTCCAGTCCACTTTTTCTTCCTCTTTTGTGTTTGTTGGGGTTTCTAATGTGTTTTTAATGCCTGTGAAATGTTTCTGTGGTCATTAGAAGTTATTATATTCAGTCCCTGAATGAAGGCTTATGATCCATGCGTATGAGCTGCAGTGTTTTTCTCCATGACCGGTTACTGATAGTTAATCATGTAATAAGCTGGAACGTCTGCATGTATAGCTTGCCAGAGACTGAAAAGGATAGGAGAGAAAGGAGAGATAGTGTGGGGGAATTCACAAAAAAAAAAAAAAAGAATTGAAATGCTATTCTGATAGAGGAGTTTCTAGCACACTAAGTGCATTTATGTGCCGTTTATTTATTTTATACATTCCTATTCAAAAGATTGGGGTTAGTAAGATTTTCAAAAGAAGTCTTTTATGCACACCAAGGGCTTTTTTATTATCAGAAAATACAGTGAAACCAGTGATATTGTGAAATATTTTTACGATCTAAATTAACTCTTTTCTGGTTTAATATGTTTTAAAATGTAATTTATTTCTGAGATGCAAAACTGAATTTTCAGCATCATTACTCCAGTCTTCAGTGTCACAAGATCTTTAGAGAATCGTGGTAATTGGCTGATTTGCTTTTTTACTAGGGCTGTCAGCGTTAACTTAATTAGTTATGACAAAATAACGTGATAAAAAAATATTTTAAAGGGGTCATATGATGCGATTTCAAGTTTTCCTTTCTCTTTGGAGTGTTACAAGCTGTTTGTGCATAGATAAGATCCCTGAAGTTGCAAAGACTAAAGTCTCAAAACCAAAGAGATATTCTTTATCAAAGTTAAGACTCTGCCACGCCCCCCTAAAACCTACAGTTACACAAATATCCTTAAATGTAAAATGTACTTAAAATACGCCTTGATGAACAAAACTCTAATTCTAAGAGGATAATGGAAGTTTCTGCTGTGAGTGTGACTACTAAATATAGGCTATACATGCTTCAAAGTAGCTAACACTACTGTTTACATGTAGTAATATGAAAGATAATAAGCTAAAGAAATGTAATAACTCTTCATTATGTTATGTGCAGGAAAAAAACACGAACTTCTGCGGAGAGTAATGTTCGCGCAGAGCAGACTGCGCTTGTCGGAAGGAGGGACTTTGTAGAAAACGAAGCGTTTGAGAGAGGCGGGGCATAGAGGACCTACAATAATGTACAGTATTTGAAAAATAATGTGTTTTTTGAACATTAAAGCATGTCAACATATTCTGTTACACCAAATACACAAAATAATGATCTTTAAAAAAGCATCATATGACCCCTTTAACGCAGTTAACGCACTGGCCCCGCCCACAGACCTGTACATCATCTTACAAATATGATGCAGGGCAACAACTTCATAAATGCAGTTATGCCATAAAATTCAAGATATTGGTGCAAAAAAATGCCCCTGTATGAGTTTTGTCTCATATTTGTGTATATCAGATATCACACGATATCACACTAGCATCAAGAGCAATATCACAGGAGTGCTGATTTTGTTCCGATCTATCACGCGCTTAAATGTGATTTTAACAGTTCAGTAAATAAGTTAATATTGTTTTATATTTTAAACACAATATTATGTTTTTGCTCAATTTAGCATAGAACATATTATCTTTAAAGCCATAGCAGAATTGTTGTTCTGAGCGACACAGCGGTGTTTAGTTTCTGAATGAATCCGCGTTTTGAACGAATCGTGTGAATCGTGTGAATCAATGATTCAAATGCCCATTCATAGGGCGAATTCCAAACAGAAGTGTGCATCCCTATGCCCTACTCTCTTCGAAGGGCAGAGCCCTTGTTTAATTCTCTCATCATTTACTCACCCTCATGTCGTTTTAAACCTTTCTTTTGTGGAACAAGAAATAAGGTATTTTGAAGACTGTTGGTACAAAGCTGTTTTGGTTACTAATGACTTTTATTGTATGAACAAAAAATAGAGGTTACTGATATGTTTCTCAAATTATCTTCTTTTATGTTCCATAGTTTATGTTAGGCCATTGCAGCCTAAATGTTTATGTGTAATATATTTTATGTTGAATCAATTAAAATATTTATTTCTAAAGCTACACTTTGTAATGTCTACTTGATATACTTTCTCATTTAACACAAAAATAGCTTTAAATAATCTTTTGTGGGTATTTTCACAGTCAAATTTATTTTGCGATTAATTAGATTAATTAATCGAAACCATGTAATTAATGACTGACAGCCCTATTTTTTACATTTCTTATTGTTATCAATGTTTGAAATAGTTATGCTGCTTAATAGTTTTGTGGAAACCATGTTATGTTTTGTTTTCAGGATTATTTGATGAATAGAAAGAATTTAAATTTTTAGAATTTCAAAAGAACAGCATTTGTTAATAACATTATAAATGTCTTTACTGTTACTTTTGGTTTAAATTTAATGACCCCAACTTGAATTCAGTTTTTCTTCCTAACATTTTCCACAAACTCACCCTCTTTCACACCCCGAGGTTTGAAACCCCAGATTTAGTGAAATCGCCCAGTGCGACAGTTGATTTAGTGAGGACGATGTGTTTCCTAAGGAGAGAGAGATGAGCGTGGAGGTGCAAATAGATCAGGAGCAGAAAATGACTGCATTCGTATCACCGAGACCATTCATTGTTGAAACTAGAAGACATCTGCTTATAATCCAGAATGACTGTAAAGTGCAGCTCTCATCTGCTCTGTATTAGCTGGAGATGTGTGAGATAGACAGATTAAGAGTCATGGAGAGAGAAAGAGAGAGTATGGAAGAGAGAAAGCATTTTATTGGCAGCAGAGTGATGATGTAATGAAACAGGCACCTGTCCACAGTGTGCCTCTCTCTCTGTGTGTGTGTGTGTATGTGTGTGTGTGTGTGAGGGTCTCGCTGGCTGCAGGGTTTGTTTTCCAGCCTTCCCATTCTTATCTCATGACTAACTTTACAGCAACTGAGTACGTCCCCCCCAAAACCTCACCCATCACCCCCAGCTTCTGCTCACACTGACAGGCACACCCTCTGGACTGACACACAGGCAGGACTGACATATGAACCGTGCGGATGATTTCAGTGCTGTGTTTGTGCCAGAATTTTTCTCTACTGTCCTCATTTCATCTCTTCATTTTTTCTGCTCACTGCGCTACATCTATAAGACATTGCTGAAGCAATTCCAACAATGCAACGTTGCGTTGGTATTTTTGTGAGAGTTTGACATTGTGCCATGTGTGGGACTTTATTTACCTATATTTTAAGGACAAAAATATCCCAAGAATTCAGACAAGTCTGATAAAACATTGCCCCAGTGATGTCCTTAACGTTTTTTTAATCAATAACTCAATAAATAATCAATAACCAGTAAACAGTAAATCACTGTTATTGTAGTATTATTTATATATTAATATAGTATTTATCAATATTTTGAATTGGCTTTTATTTTCAGATTTTCAGTTTTCATTTTAGTTTTAATAATTTTTAAGTTTTAATTTGGTTGTAATTATTTCAGTTTTGGTTTTAGTATTTTTAGTAATTTAATTTAAACATACTTTAAATTTTCATCTAATATTTTTTTCTCAGCTTTATTTCAGTTCAACAAACAAATTACGGTAACACTTTACTATATGGACCAATTCTCATTATTAACTAGTTGTTTATTAACATGCCTATTATTAACAAATTCACTGTATATTACCTATACCTAACAGCTACCTTACTAACTATTAATAAGCAGCAAATTAGGAGTTTATTAAGGCAAAAGTCATAGTTAATGGTTTGTTAATAGCGAGAATTGGACTTTACAATAAAGTGTTTTAGTTATAGTTCTGTCACAATCCTGATTCTTCATTATGTATGTGTTTCATAAGTTAGTTTTGGAGTGTGTTGTCAGAGCCTGTCTGAAGTGTTTTCTTTTGTAACATGCAGCTAAGTGTCGCTATGCTCTGGGGATGGAGGATGGCACCATACCCGACTCTGATATCACCGCATCCAGCGCCTGGTCCGACTCGACCGAGGCCAAACACGGCAGGTAAGTATGAACACATGCTTTCAGTTCACACATTGCTTTCTAGTTGCGTGCATAATGCAGTATTCTCACTCTGATTTTGTGTTTGTGATTTGTGGTTGGTTGTTTGTGTTCGTGGGCTCTGTGAGGCTCATGAGGGGACGTGATTAGGTTACATGAGATGTCAGTAATGGAGCGTATCCTGATATAGAGCATTAGGTAATGACATTACAGCACTGTCTGTCTGGACTAGACTCACATACTGCTGAATACAGGCCAATACCACACACACGGTAGCAGACGTAACACACACACAACAAACACAAAAGCAGACACAAAACCACACTGACTAATAAACTTTGAGGTTAGCATCACTAACCTTCCCTGAAACAGATAGAAGCATGTGTGTGCGCGAGGGGCTTTTCTGTTTTTTGGCAGCACACAGATCATGTGGTTGTTATTAAGTCCACATTCTGTTTAAGACAGCAGGGGGATTTTGAACGGAGGGGAGAGGAGATTACAGGAAAAATGGAGCAAGGGAGAGGGGCAAATAGCCTTAAACGGAGAAGGGGAATAAAGAAGAAAGAGGGCGGAGGTTAAAAGGAATGATGGGTGCTGAGAGGTGCTGAAGATGGGATTCATGGTGGGGATACAGTGCTTTAGGGGTGTGTGTGATGTTTGTGTGTTAGGGTGGGTTCTCACACATGATCTATCAGAAGAACAGCTGTGTGACAATATGCTGAAGACCAACATATGCAGTGAGAGAAAGACCAAATGAAGAGGAGCTGCAGCTAACAACTATTTTGATAATCTGTTGAACATGTATTCCACATCTGGAACATTGGTGTCCTTCAAACAATGTGCAAAGACTTTTGTATAATGAATGTATAATATTCATTGTGTGCAAAAATGGTATAAAAAGTATATGGTAACAATTCACCATTCATTTTCCCTACAGAGATTTCGAAAAAGTCTTTAAAAAGTTATAAGCTATGAACAAAACCAACCAGCTATGAGGTGAATCACAATATTTCCAAATTTGACTTGAAGCAAAAAAGTATGAAAATATCAAATGTAAAAAGAATGTGTGTTTATTGGTTTTATTGAGGGGGGTGGGGCAATCTTATTGAGGTATCACAAAAGGCATTGATGTAAAGATTTTGATTTTGCATATTTAGTTTACATTGTTTATACACACGCACGCACGCACACACACACACACACACATGTTAGGTTTCTCTGAATTGTGGGGACTTTCCATAGATTTCTATTACTTTTATACTGACCAAACGATATTTTCTATCCCCTAACCCTAAACCTGCCCCTTACAGAAAATCTGTTTGCATTGTTACACTTTCAGATAAACATCATTTACTATTTTTAATAATTTTTCTCCCTCGTGGGGACCACAGTGTCACAATGTCCCCACAATGTCAAGAATTTCAGGCTTTACTATCCATACTATCCTTTACTATATATAAAAGCAAATCCCATCGATTAACAAACAATGTACTTTACAGTAGGTCTGTCTTTAACAGTTTATAAGTTAATGTTAAACATCAGTTCCCCTGTAGAGAAAATGAATAGGAGTTTTACATCAAGAACACAATTGCTGAACTCTGTGTATAAAAACAAGCCAACACCCTTCACAAAGGAAAAGCAGCAACACAGATTAAATTACCAAAGAATAAACAATATTACTGAGAAACAAACGTTGTTAACTGGTTAGAGGTGGAATGTTCTGCAGGAACAAACCTTGCTTGTAGTTTTGTTGCACTTGCAATTTTAAAATTGGATCTGGACCATCACTGATCTTTTTACTTGACTGAACTGTGATGGTATATTCAGGGAAGAACATGTCAAAGTGGACTAAATCTCATTTTGATTTTGAAAGGGTCTGTGAGACTGACCCGTGTGTCTCTTTGACTCTGAGGTCATGGTGAAGATTCAAGGGTGAATCTGAAATGTCTCAGACTGGTCTCAGTTTCTTGATCTCAACTGTGTCACAATGAGGTCTCAGTGAGGTGACAGTACCCTCACCTCGCTGGAATATCTTATTTCAGGCGCATTTCTCTTTTCGTTTGAGTGTTTGTGGTCTCCACTGTCTGTCATCAGTGTCTCGTCACCTATGTGATATCAGTAGCTGAATGCAGAGACATTCAGTGTTGTTCTTCTTCTATGAGTGTGGAACGTTTAGTACTGATGCTGAGCCAGCCGACAGCTCTGGCTGTTACTTGTGTTAGTGAGTGAAGTGTGTTAGGAAGTTTAAAAGAGGAAATGGCCTAAATGTCATACATATGGTTGTGTGTATGTGTTAGAGGCATGCGAGAAAGCGTAACCAGGTAATGGTGTTTATACATAGACCTCACCTCTCACATATCACCTCATTAGCCTGTAGGTTTTTTTTTTTGTACAAGGAAATTCCAAATTGATTTATTTTATTTTAAAAAGTTTTTTTTGTTTGTTTCTTTTGCTTGTTTGTTTGGTTTGGTTTGTTGTGTGTTGTTGTATTTTACTTTGTTTTGAGTTGTAGTGTTTTTGTGTTGTGTTTTTTTGTGTGTGGTGTTTTGTTCTTTGTTTGTTTTGGTTTGTTTTGTGTTGTATTTTGCTTTTTGTATTGTGTTTTTGTTTTGTTTTTGTTTTGCTTGTTTAGGTTTTGTTGTGTTGTATTTTGCTCTTTGTGTTGTTGTGTTTTTGTTTTGTGGTGTTTTGCTTTGTTTTTGTTTTATATGAGATTTGTTTGAGAATTTGTGCATTGTGGTGTTATTTTCAGGATAATTAATTGTACCATTGTAATTGTGTATATATAGTTGAGCATGTACATAATGCTTATGTTTGTGTCCTGTCCTAGGTTGAGTACTGGAGAGGGGGACGGGGCGTGGTGTCCAGCTGGTCCAGTGTTTCCCAGCGGCTCAGAGTACCTGCAGGTGGATCTGCGCAAGCTTCATTTCCTGTCTCTGGTGGGCACACAGGGTCGCCATGCAGATGGGCTCGGGCGGGAGTTTGCACGCAGTTACCGGCTGCGTTACTCTCGTGATGGACGACACTGGATAACGTGGAAGGACCGCAGGGGACAGGAGGTTTGTAACCCCCCCTTTGTAACCCCCCCTTAATAATCAAGTTTTGTTAGCAGAATTTGGATCTTAGATATTTTACAGTTATTCTGTGTTGTTTTTGGCTCAGGTGGTGTCAGGGAACGAGAACACATATGATGTGGTCCTGAAGGACCTGGGTCCGCCCATCATAGCGCGCATGGTGCGCGTCTACCCGCTGGCGGACCGTGTGATGAGCGTGTGTCTAAGAGTTGAACTCTACGGTTGTGTTTGGAAGGGTGAGTCCAACACACGACAAGCAATACATTTTCCTGGTCACACACACACTCAACTCCATTACATTCACACCAGGCATATTTTGCAATGGAATGATGTTTACCTTTGAGTGATGTGCTGCTTCTCTGTTAGACGGACTAAAGGCATACACCGCTCCTGTGGGTCATGTGATGGACCTGTCAGACACTCCTGTCTACCTTAATGACTCCATCTATGATGGCAGTAAAGAGGCAGGGTAATGTACACACACACTCAACTTTGTTTCTTTTCATATTTTTAAGAATGTAATTTCATACTTCCTGCAAGTGTTTCATATCTGCATGAAAATTGTACATGTGTGCTATGAAGTTAGTAACTACAAATCACGTAGAAACCATCAAATATAATTTGTCTCTCAACAAACAAGTAGGTTGAAGTAGGGATGGGGATTATAAGATTCCCTTGGACTAAATAAATAAATGATTAATGAATAAAGAAATAAATGAATACTGTCATAACTGACTAATTGCATTAAAAATAAACAAGTAAATAAATAAAAATATATTTTTTGCAATAACTTTCTCAAATCAAATAGGTCATAAGCTGGATGTGTTTGATTCACTTAATTGACTCATAAGAGTCATTCGTTTGTATGTTTTTGATTTGCCAAAAAGACCTGGCTCAGAGTACATTTTGAATCATACTTGCAAAGTCTTTTAGAACTGTAGAAGAATGCACATTCTAGAACCAATGATGGAACAAAACACTTGATTTTAATATAAAAAAAAAATACCAGAAAAAAACGTTACATTTTGGATCACAACCATAGGTTCATGCTGTGTGTCAGAAACAAGCAGTTGAGAACTTGCTGATGTAAACTTCTCAAATCTCACCTGCTCCTGTCAGGCTTAATTTTCTGTGATGTATGTTAAAGTCCAGAGCCCTTTCTCATGTATGTATGTGTATATGTCAGGTGGGGTTGACGAATATTGTGTAGAAACATTCCCAGATGTGTTTTAATGGAGCAGAACTGTTTGCAATAGCTAAGTTAACGTTTGACACTAGCCAGATGTGGGTATGCATGGGAAATTCCAACATGTATGTGAGTACATGCATGTGTGTGCACATGCCTAATGACTTATGTCTCTCTCTTCTCCGTAGGGTGATGTTCGGAGGATTGGGCCAGTTGTGTGATGGTGTTTTAGGTGGGAATGATTTCATGGAGAGTAAAGAGCTGAGAGTGTGGCCAGGATATGATTACGTCGGCTGGAATCGAGAAACCTTGGGCCAGCCCACTGTTGACATTGAGTTTCACTTCGAGAAAACACGGGTCTTTCACACCATGCAGGTCAGTATGTGTACAAGCAGCCCAAAATATGTTTGGACACTTAAAGGGATAGTTCACCCACAAATAAAAATTGCCCCATTATTTACTCACCCTCAAGCCATCCTAGGTGTATATGCCTTTCTTCTTTGAGATGAATACAGTCGGAGTTACCTCAAAAATGTCCTGGCTCTTCCAAGCTTTATAATGTTATGATTTTGAAGCCCAAAAAAGTGCATCCATCCATCATAAAAAGTACTCCACGCGGCTCTGGGGGTTCATAAAGGCCTTGTGAAGTTGAAGCGTTGTGTTTGTGTAAGAAAAATATCCATATTTAAAACTTTATAAAGCGTAATCTCTAGCTTCCGCTAACTGACGTACGTGCGTTCACGAGAGAGTGACATTAAGGGATAGTTCACCCAAAAACTGAACATTCTGTCATTTACTCATCTTCATCTCTTTCTTCTGCGGAACACAAAATAACAGGTTTTGTTCATACAATGAAAGTCATTGGGGTCCAAAATAACATTGAATTTCATTAACATAAAAAATATATTTTCGAAATATGTTCTTTTGTGTTCTGCAGATGAAAAAAAGCTAAAGTCATACAGGTTTGGAACGACATGAGGGTGAGTAAATGATCTGCTGTTCATCTTCAACTTTCCACTATGCCAGACGGAAAGCACTATCGCAGAATTCATCTCAGTCAGTTAGTAGGGCAGTAATAAAGCTCTGCCTCAGTAAATCTGCCCTCAGGAGTCTGTCATTATCCTTCAACCCTTTAATGAACATTTGATTTGTTTTTGTTCGTCTTTCTGCCTGTGGCTTTGCATTTGTGGCCGTGTGTGATTCTGAGAGGCATCCGAGTGTTTTGTATCCAATTTGTGGCGCCATAATTATTTCTTTAGTTTGTTATTTGCATATATGTGTGTTTGTGTGAGTGCATTGTCATTTTTATGGGTCTTTCTGACCAGGAATGCGAATTTGTTTGTACCACTTCTGGCTTTTTCTGGTCTCGAGAGAGCATTCTCTTCATTCATTTCTCTCTGGCATAACACAATTCACAAACGCCATCATCCTCCCATGTCGCCCTGTTTTTCCTGCAGCTTCCCACTGTTTTGAACACTTCCTCTAATACTTGCTTCCTGCAAGTCTTGCAGCAGATTCCCAAAAGATACTAAGAAATTAAAATTAAAACATTTACCATAACAACAAGTGCTTGTTCACGTGCCTTTGAGGGATGATTTATGTCGCCTCCCTGTGCTCACTCTCCCAGACCCTTGTTTTTAAAGTATTTCCAGCTGTATTCCTGCAGTTTCGGAATACCGCCAGCCTCACCGGCACTTTTCCTCTACAAATCAACCCCCCATTGCTTCAGGAACTCCAGTGCAAAGTTTGTCACACACTGAGAATAAATCATTGTTGGATTTACTTTAAAACGGTTCTCACTCAGAAACTGCTAGAAAATTTCACAAATAATAGATTTTTAAGTAGAAAGACTGAAAATGGTGTTTTCTTGTAGAACATACTCGAACAATCTTTATTTTGTTTACAAAATCATTTTTACAGGGCAGCCCACCAAGGCGTATATGTGTGAGAGAGAGAGAGACTTATGAGGTGTCACCATGATAGCTTTGGCTACGCATTAACCTCCAGCACTGTTGTAGCAGTTTTTTTTATTTTCATCAGTAAGCAGTAAGCTGTATCAAGCTGTATCAGTAAGCGTTTGCACACATGTGCGCAGTTACACGTTGACCTAACAACACCATTAATGTCTAACCTGTCACATTATATATGTTCTTGCCCTCCACCTCTCATTCGCTCCCTGTTTCCTTTCTTTTTCTTCATTTGTGTAGTAATAACTTCTGTTTATTTCTTGTTTCCACTGCTCCTTATTTTTGTTCCCTGCAGTCTTGATGTGTCTGATTGCAGTTTTTGTTTTTAAATGTCTGTGTTTCAGGTGCACAGTAATCACAGACACACTCAGCATGTGCGGGTGTTCAATGAAGTGGTGTGTGAGTTTAAGGCCAGTCTGTTGAGCCCGTGGGCGGAACCTGCGCTCAGTCTTCAAGTGCCGCTGTCTGACCTACACGACCCTTCGTCCCGCACCATCTCACTGCCACTCGGAGGACGACCGGCGCAAATTCTCCGCTGCCGTTTTTCTTTCAGTGACCGCTGGCTCCTCATCAGCGAGATAAGCTTCTACTCGAGTATGAACACCCACACACCTGACCTTTCACAGCAAAGTACTCTGGCTCATTAACATTACAGTTCTGCAGCCACTTTCCAGTATATAGTAGCAATTTATTATGTATCAGACTTATTACATAGCTGTTTGATTTGAGAACAAAGTGAGAAGAAAGAGTGCTTTGCTCAGCTTTGTAGGATTTTTTCATGTTATGCAGTTTGATGGTTGAGCTGGTTGTTTTTATTAGAGAGTTGTGTAAAAACCCTGCTAAATCATCTTAAACCAGCCTGATGTTGTGGTCTAAAATGGTTTAGTTGGTTTCCCAGTGTTGTCAAGCTGGTGTATGCATGCTAGTTTCGCTAGTTGGCAAGCTGGTCTTCCAGCCTTACCAGTTGAAGAGTGCCCCAAATCCAACTGAGGCCAACAAAAACAGCTTAGACTGGTTAAATATGTCTTTTCTTGAAGGAAAGGAATGAATAATATGATCCTTTGCCACAAAGCAAATATTCCCACATCATTCCAAAGAAAATCTTGACTTCTCTCTAGTGATCGACCGATATTGATTTTTTATAACCGATACCAATTATTTGCATGTTTATGTGCCCGATGAGAATAATTCACTGGATAATGTTAATTCACTGAATAATATTCTCTGGAATATTGGAATATAACAAACAAAACATCGTATTTTATTGCATTTCTCAACTGGAATGTTATATCAGAATTATTAATGTTTTTGTCCTTCTAGATTATGAAATGGCTGCTGACAGCGCGGTTTATCTATGCAGTTACACAGAACTATACTCAAACCGCAATCGCTCGCGGAGATAATAAATAATTAATTTCCATAGAGTTGTAGTTATTTAGATGTTTATTAGCGAAATAATGGTTATATAGTAAATGTTAATACAATTTAGGGTGTTTTAAACAAGTGAAGTACCGTTGTTGTTGTCTCGTCTCCCCTCAGACGCGCTGCAATGGCTATCCTGTGCGCAATTCTCAAAACGCCCACAAGATGGCGGCGTTTATCGGTGAATCCGATATTACAAAACCGATATCCGATTATGGTAAAATGCTTAAATATCGGGAAAATATCGGTACATCGATATATCGGTCGATCTCTACTTCTCTCTGAATGTTTTGCGCTCATCCTTATGGACTTCTTTAATGAAATATAGCTAAATTATCCAAATGAAGTAACAAAGTACTGTCAACTAAATAACTCTTCAGAGTGTGTGACTTTGGGTTCTGATTGGTTGGTCAATATCAACCGAAATATGAGCAAATCAATGTGGCTTGCATGGATACTTACAGCTGACAACAGTAATTTGGAGAAAAAGTGAGGTTTTGTGTCGCATTCACTTTGAGACCGGTATTTGATGGGTCTGTAGATAAGGCAAAGAGCCAAAATGATCAATATTCATGCTGTATCCGAGATAAAGCCTGCTTATCTAATTCCTTCTTTTCTCCATTATCTTTTCTCTGTCTTGTCTCCAGTGCCATTTGAGGATCGATCCATCCTTCCTCCTCTGCCTTCCTCCAGCACTCGTCCTCTCAATGCTACTTCTCCTCCAACCCCCAGCCCCGCAAACGGAACCAGCAGCCCCACCGGTGAGTTGGACTCATGACAACCCCTCCACATAGTGTGTATGCAATGCACTGCCCTGCCCTGCCATTGTTGCATTAGTGCTGATTGTTATGGTATTGGAATGGAATCGCAAAGATTTTAATGATTTTGGTTCTGTAATGTTTCTTTTTATGATACTTTTAGTATTTTTGGATGTTGCCCATTCCGATAATTGTTTTAGAATACTTAGTAAAAGTACGATACCGCTTCACATATAAGCACACACGTATTATATATGTATGTGTGTGTGAAGTTGTATTGTTTTTGTAGAATGTATTTTGCTATGTACAAGCCAAAAACAAAACTACTTATTTTAATATATGTAATATATAATATATTGTGTGTAAATATATATGAATAATAATAAAAGCCAACTTATAAAACTACCCTTAATTACAACAATACTCTTTATTTTTTTTAAATCTGAACCAAGGATACTAAATATGTAAAAATCAATAAAAAAAAAATTTCTGATGGAACCATTTCTTGATTTCCAACCCTATTTATGTAGTTTATTTGGAGAATTATTGAGAAAATGCATCCTTACAAACTGAAAAGGCCTAGCTTCATCCCATCCTCACAGACTGCCCTCCCTCATCTTTCAGCACTCCCATGTCATTCACCCCTATCTCTCTAATTCTCCCTCTTCTGACTTGTACACCCTAATTTTTCCAGACCTCCTCATGACCATTACTTCACTGCTGCCCAGCAGCATACCAACAGGTGAGAGAGAGAGAAAGAGAGAAGGACAAGAGGAAGAAAAGAGTACCGTCTTCAATACTTGTTCTTACGTCTTATTTTTATGGCATTTTTACCAGTACAGAGGCCTTTTATGATGCTCCCCTCTAAACTTCTTTACAATTGAAAACCCTGCCCTCATAAAATCCCCTGAGAATGTGGTTGGTTGTTGTGTGTGTGCATGCGTTTCAATCTTGAAGCCTGGAGAGAATGTTTTTTGCATGATTCGGATGTTTTTTTTTCCCCTTGACTTTAACAATGCTCTATTGTTTTGAGTGTTTCATATAGCCAAACTCATAAAGGATCTTTGTGGAATTGCTCCAGCTGTCCTTGCTCTTGTCCCTCTTTGATTTAACTTCAGTTCCCTCAACTTTAGGACTGTGCCCACTCTCACAGCTCATTTACTCCCTTCAAAGCTTATTACAGTCCCCAAAAACAATTGGGGAGTTTTTGGGGACTTACTTATGTTGGACTTACCAACATAAGAACACAGACACACACACACACACACACACACACACACACACACACACACACACACACACAGTGTATAAGAAAGCAAGTCAAATCACACAAAGTGTGTCAGTGACCATGAAGGCATTTACTTATTACTGCCTCACCCAGCATTAAGATAAGAAGGTGGCTTTAATGGACAGATAAGCTTTTGTTTTACTCTCTAAACACTCTGTAGGTCTTTAAATGCCTCATTTATAGTGTTTGTAATCATTTGTAATGTCAGACTAGCATTACACTAACATACACACTTAATCATAAAACTGTTGTGTTTGGTTTTAACAGAGTTTCCTGCTGTCACTCTGAGGGCGGGCTTACCTATGGCCAAAGATGACAGCAGCAACACGGCCATCCTGATTGGCTGCCTGGTTGGAATTATCCTGCTCCTATTGGCTGTCATAGCTGTCATACTTTGGAGGCAGTACTGGAAGAAACTACTTGGCAAGGTGTTTTTCCTTACTGTGTTTTTATACAGTTTAATAGCACTGGGACTTTTCAGTGTTTGTATCATTGTCTTTGTGAGCGAGTCATTAACTCATTTGTTTTACTGATTCGTTCAAAAGCACTGATTCATGTAGAAATAAAATTAGTGATTTGTCTTTATTAGTAAGTCATTGAATCATTCACTGAGGTGATTTATTAAAAAACACTGATTAATTTATCACCAAATCAAGTAAAATCTTTATAAATGAGTCATTAAATTATTCAGTCAACATATTAATTCAAAAACATTAAGGTTCATCCTGATTAATTCAGGAATGCCACTACTGTGTTAGGGATGTGTTTTTTAGGGACGATGCTGATTATTACAGATCAAGTAGACCGATAACCTATATTTTGAACCGATATTATATGTCTGGTGTAAAAATGAAAATGAGTATCAAAATTAAGAATAACAAGGGCTCTGACAACAATGTTGCATTTAAATTATTTTATAGGCAAATCGGTTTTGAAAATGACCAATACCGATAACCATGAAAATGCTTAATATCGGCCAGGCCTGTTTTTAGACTGTTGTGTGAAAACAAAATATTTTTGTAGTTTATCTGTTTGATTCATTTTCTCAGAATAGAAAACTGCATTTTATTTGCATTTATCTGTTATAGCATTTTAGGAGTATACTAGCATACAGATGGCTAACAGGCATGGACGAAATGCCACAAAACTCCAAATTTTATTTCATGGCTCTTTAATTTTGTCTCCCTATATCCAGGCCCAAGGCAGCCTCTCCAGCGACGAGCTGCGGGTTCATCTTTCGGTTCCATCGGACAACGTGGTGATCAATAACACTAACACCCACACATACTCCAGCCGCTACCAGCGCATACACACCTTCCCCGACGACCGGGACCGCGAGGGAGAATACCAGGAGCCCAGCACTGTACTGCGGCCCCGAGAGCAACGTGACAGCACAGGTGACACACACGCACACTCAGCATTCACATACCTCACTCAGTAAGCGCACAGGAACCCGGTTCACCACGGAGAGTGAGCAGCACTGCCAAAATGACATCAGAAAAAGTACTTTAGGACAATCCACAACCCAAACACAAAGAGCCACTGTCCTATCTGACAGAGAGAGGAGGGAGGGAGATTTTATTTCACTCATACCCCACTTGTACTCAAATGTTCCTGTTTTTCCTTTCATAGTTGCTTTCATGATACTTCATTTTTTTAATCATCGTATGATTCTTTTCGTACATTAATTAACATAAACGAATGTCCCATAATGGACTGACCAATGAAAAGATTATTAACAGCCTGCGTCATTATCAGTGATAACACTGCCTGCTGTGTTTGTGCATCTCACATGTAACTGGTTTGCTCTGTCACCCCTTAACGGCCCTGTTGTTTGTGTTTTGTTGTTTTGTTGTTGTGTCGTCTCGTGTTGTGTTGTGTTGTGCTGTGGTTTGGTTGTGGTTGTGCCGTTTTGTGCCGTTTTTTGTCGTGTGGTGACCGCTCACACTGTCGTGCCCTTCGTGGACTCGTGTGTCCGTGGGATTTGTGTGTGTCCTCCTAGCACTGCTGTTAAACAACCCAGCATATCATCTCCTCCTGTCTGACCTGACACATGGCCCCAACAGGCTGACAAACTGCCACAGCCAGCAAGAAAAGCCCCAAAACCTGTCCCAGGGTAAGAGAGAGGGGGTTCATTTTGCCCTAAGAAAGCAGTTAAAGTCCCCGGAAGTCCTAAAGGTAACGGTTAGAGTGATATAATGGCCCCAGAACAGCACAGAGGACATTAAACTTTCATAAAAGGGTGTTTTTAAGTGTTTCTGGGACTTTTATGTCTCTGGGGTTTTTTATTAAAACTAAAATATTTCAAATGGTATCTTTTGTTATTTGAAAGACACATTTAAAATTGTCTTGGAAGCTTGTAGTGGTTTACTCTTGTTCCAGACGTAAACTTTCAATATTGGAATATGAAAATCCACCACAAGAATATGAATCAGCATGTTTAAAACTAAGATGATCTAACAGAATGAAATAAACATGAATTATTCAGTAAAAAAAAATCCTCAACTTTTCAAAAACATTTTTGCAAATAATAACATTTATTAAGATTTAATGTACTTGTTTACCAAGGAGGCAGAGTCAGTGGAATGCTTAAGGTGATGTGTGAAGAAAACAAAATGACAATTTTTGTCTAATTTCTAAAATTGCAATTGTATTAAATTATCTTTTATGATAAAAAAAATTGGGAAAATATTAAGCCTATTTAGATATTGTTGACTTCTATTTTTTTTTTTAAAGGGTTGAATCATTTCCACCACAAAATGGTATTAAACACAATCCATAATTTAACTTCTCTAATGCTCATCGAGGCTACAGTTGTTTGATAAAAAATACAGTAAAAACAGAAATATTATGCAACATTATTACAGTCTAAAATAACTACATTTGAACTGTCATGGCAAAGCTAAAATCATTCTAATATGCTGATTTGGTTCTCAAGCTGCATTTTTATTAACAACACTGAAACAGTTGTGCTGCTTAAAGAGATTGTTCACCCAAAAAATAAATTTGAAATTTACTCACCCTTAGGCCATCCAATATGTCTTTTTTTTTTTATTTATTTTTTTTTTATTCAGTAGAACAGTAAAGAAGATTTATTAGAAAAAAGTTACCTATCTTGGATGGCCTGAGGGTGAGTAAATTAAGAGCAAATTTTCATTTTTGGGTGAACTATCCCTTTAATATACATGTGGCAACCAGATTGTTTGATGAACAGGGTATTCTAAAGAACAGCATTTATTTGACAGATTTTTCCCCCACTTTCGATCAAATGTTTGTGCTTGCTGAACCAGAAGTAATAATTTCTTTCAAAAGAAAATCTTACTGACCCCAAACTTTTAAACAGTAGTATGTCCACCGTTTCATATTGTCAGTGGACAAATTAGTGAGAGCAAAAGTAAGAGTTTGTTTTCTAAGTCTACAGGGCCAAAAAAAAACAAAATGGTAGTTTATCATTTTGTCAGGGATGAGGTACCATATGAGCCCACAGGAGTATGTTAGTGTTTTCACAGTATGCGTGTACATAATATGTCTTCTCCAGTGTATGTGAGTGTTTAAGTGCATATGTGTGGTTCATAATTATTCATTAGTATTATGTCATAAGGCTGAATAGCTCTCTATTCTAAGTTTTTCTTCTGTACCGTTTTTTTTCTCTCAGCATGTGCTATTGATATGGTTGATAAAGGCCTACCAATTCAGGAGGGACCGCCTCCTTACCCCGGAGCTCCACCCCCTTGCCTGTCAGCAGCTCATTATGGAGAAGCTTCCGGAGCCGGGGGAAGCGTTCCTCATTATGCAGAAGCTGACATCATCAGTCTGCAAGGCGTTAGTGGTAACAATACATATGCAGTCCCCGCCCTCTCAGCCACGCCCACTGATTGTCCACCACTGCCCGAGTTGCCACGGGAACGACTTATATTCAAAGAAAAGCTGGGAGAAGGACAATTTGGAGAGGTATAATTTAGTATTACATAAATATTACAAATGACAAATAAAAACACCTTTATTTGCTTTAAGGAAATCTTTATTCCAAAAACCTTAATTTGTGGCCAAAAGCAGTCTGGTTACACTTTACTTGAAGGGGTGTGCATAAGACTGACATGACACCTTCATAATCATGACATGACACATACATAATCATGACATGACACATGTCATGAATATGAAGGTTTTTTATGCAAGTTTATGACAACTGTCATTAAGTGTCATTCGCTCAGTTATGTCATTTTTAATGCAAAGATGACATTGTCACATCACATTGTCTTTGTTATGGGCTATGGTTAGGGGTAGGGGTAGGGTTAGGTTAGGGTTAGGTCAAATAATGTGATATTTGCATTAAAAATGACATAACTGAGCGAATGACACTTAATGACAGTTGTCATAAACATGCATAAAACCTCCTTCATATTCATGACGTGTCATGTCATGATTATGAAGGTGTCATGTCAGTCTTATGCACACCCCTTCAAGTAAAGTATTACCAGCAGTCTTTTTAAATAATATTGTTTCCTGTATAACAAGCTATTTATTGTATGTTTCCTTATAGGTTCATCTGTGTGAGATTGAAAACCCTCAGGACCTGGCAAACCTTGAGTTCCCATTTAATGTCAGGAAAGGGCGCCCTCTGTTGGTGGCTGTGAAGATTTTAAGGCCAGATGCCTCTAAAAATGCCAGGTAACTGAATTATTATCGAAACAATATATTATTATTATAGTTTTATAAATATTATGTCATAAATATTGTGATGTTTTTTAAATGTTACTCCATCTGACCTTAACAATGCAAGTCATGTTTTAACATGACAAAAAAATGTTACTTAACTTTGATTTGGTATGAATGAATGAATGAATGAATGAAAAGAAGAAGAATTTATTAATTTGTATTCATTTCGTTTTTATTTTTTATTTTTATTACTTTTTAAAAATATTTTTAATGCTATTTTGAATGCCTCAATGAACTGCCATTTTAGCAATTAAAAAGTTAATTTGTGTAAATAAAAAAAAAAACCCTGATATATTAGTACACTTTGGGTGTAGAGGGACATACGAGGGTGTATTATCTTTTTGTTGCATATGCTTTGTAAATAATTTTAAGATTTGGTTGGAAAAGTTTGTCACCTGTAAAACAATACCTGTTGTGTATTTTATAAAACTGTAGTAAACTCAAATTCTTCATACACTTCATATCCTAAAGGGATAGTTCACCCAAAAAATTAAATTGTCATCATTTTACCCTCATGTCATTCCAAACCTGTATGAGTTTCTTTCTTATGTTAAACATAAAATAAGATATTTTGAAGAATGCTGAAAATCAAACAGTTGATGGTCCCATTGACTTCTATAGTATTTTTTTCCCTACTGTGGAAGTCAGTGGGGCCAACAACTGTTTGGTTCTTCAGAATTCTTCAAAATATCATCTTTTGTGTTCAACATAAGGAAAAAACTTATACAGGTTTGGAACAACATGAGGGTGAGTAAATGATGACAAAAATGTTCATTTTTGGGTGAACTTTCCCTTTAATGTTCTGTCCTTTCCCCTTCTCTTGTTACTCTCTCATTCTTTTCATGCTCTTCTTTCAACAGGAATGATTTTCTGAAGGAGGTGAAGATTTTATCTCGCCTGAAGGATCCGAACATAATCCGCCTGCTGGGTGTGTGTGTAAGCAGCGACCCATTGTGTATGGTCACAGAGTACATGGAGAGCGGAGACCTCAATCAGTACCTCTCCCATAGAGTGTTGCTGGACAAGACCGGCCCTTCACATAATACACCAACCATCAGGTACACAAACACACAGAGCAGTACAATGACAGTATAAAGTAATGATATTATGTAAAAGGTTAAATGTCTTTCTCTGTCTCAGCTACCCAGCTTTGATCTCCATGGCGAGTCAGATCGCATCAGGAATGAAGTTCTTGTCGTCTCTGAACTTTGTGCACCGAGACCTGGCCACGCGGAACTGCTTGGTGGGTGGAGAGAGGGGTGAGGGGGAGGACCGCGGCGGAGAGCGCCAGATAAAGATAGCTGATTTTGGCATGAGTAGGAACCTCTATGCTGGCGATTACTACAGGATACAGGGACGAGCTGTGCTGCCTATTCGCTGGATGGCATGGGAGTGCATCCTCATGGTGAGAACTATATGTTTGCTCTAATAAATGAAAATACACAGTAATATTAGTGCCAAACTTTTTTTTATTGATTAGCTTGACTCATCTATGTTTCTATGATATATATATATATATATATATATATATATATATATAAACAGATCAGGTGCAAAAGCCTCTAA